GACTTCTGGAAAGAGTATCACTAATAATCATCGTTTTTCCTGGCGAATATTGGGCAACTGGGTTATATCGCATCAGACGCATCAACATAGCGTACTGGAATCTGGTCGATATCCTTCCTATTTATCAAGGGAACTAGTGGTTTATGATCAGTTACTAGTGTATACGATTCTAATCCACAGAGGTATCGGTTAAACTTTTCGCAAACCCAAACTAATGATAAACTCTTTTTCTACCTGGGCATATCAAGTTTCTGAACCCGTTAAAGTTCTTGAACAGAATGCAACAAGCCTCCAATTTTGCTCATGTAATTGTAGAATAACTCCCCCGATGCCATATTGACTTGCGCTGTGCTCACCAGCAAAGACAGAACTTGAAGTTGTCAGTTCCTTAATTTGTTGAAATGCGGATTTTTGGTAGTCTCGCCATATCCATACGTCTTTTCTAAGACGATTATTTAACAGTTGCAAAACATCAGATAAATTTGGAATATAACATCCGATGTAGTTTATCATACATGTACCTAAAATCTGATGAAAATCAGCTACTGAATTCAGGGCAAGTAGATTGTTAATTGCGGAAACTGGATGAGGAGCAATACCTTTTTGCGTTAATTTGTGTCCTAAAAAGTTAACTTCAGTTTGTCTAAATAAACATTTACTTTTATTCAATTTGAGACCACTTTCTTTTATTCTCTTTAAAGCTGATTCTAAATTTCTGTCATGTTCTTCTAATGTAGCTCCAAATACAAATATTTCAACCATATAAATAGATATTCCATTTAGATTTGATAACACATCGTTCATTATCCGAGTGAATATTTCAGGTGCACTAGTAATTCCGAAGGGTAGTCTTAAACCTGTAACGACACAGGAAAACTAAATTGTTGATTTTTATGCTCAGTTTCTACAATAAAATATCCCTTACAGACCAAATCCCCTCCTGGGCTACTTTACAAAATATTAGATGGTCTCAATTGTGGCTTAGAAGTAAGTTCATTATAAGTAGATTTATATAAAACTGATGTATCGGCTCCTGAGATGATATTTCCACAAACTTTTAATTGTACTTGCCAAACTGGTTCAAAAAGTCAAAATCATCTGAACAGTGATTAATATCATCAACTGAACCAACCCTCCATACAATTGTTATTTACCACTTTGTCTGCAACATTGTTGCCAATTTGATTGACAGCTGTGAAATCATTTGCCGGATTAGGTGATATCGATGGGCTGACCTGAATTTCTCTAATAAATTTTGACTTACATCTTACTGCAAAATGTCCAACTTTATTACACTTCCTTTTCCTACACCTGGCACCTTCAGCAGGACATCCGTCATTTGGTCTATGACGCCTATTACACTGACTACAGTCCCTATGTGAAGATTTACTATTATTATACTGATATCAGGAATTAATATTATTAGCACCGCTACATGTATATCTGTTTAGGTATCTTGGCTTTATCCTGATAATAATTTGTTCGGTGTCTCCAATGACTTTCACAATAATGTCCCTTGTTTGTTCCTATAGCGTCTAGCGCTTTCTTCATTTCCGATAATTCTATCTGCGACAAATTATTCTGGCTTTTCACTAATTCATGATTTCGCGCAATATCCACAGAGTTAATTGTAAGAGTTAATTGTGCCTCCATTTGTAATTTTTGTGATACAGTTTTGTCTTATAATCCTATTACGAGTTGATCCCAAATTGTCTCCTCCTTTTTACTAAAATCACAATGTTCTGATAACTCGTATATAAATGGCGCAAAAACGATTCAACATTTTCACCAGATTTCTGGACACATTCAGGGGTAGAAACTAACCTGAAATGGTCACTAGCCATTTGGGCTAGTAGCTTTCAGATCTTACTAGCCCAGCCAACATTCTACTAGCCCAGTAAGAAACTGACACGAGACGTTACAATTCTTATTTAGACTGTTGTTTTGTTCATCATTAATTATCCTCAGGGATCATCACCGTCGGCAGCGTTTGATATAGGCTCAAACACACCAGACATGGAGAAGAGTAGACTGGCAAAGTGTGCTCTTCAGTGATGAGGGTCGCTTTCATCTTTTTCACGCTGATGGCCGTCAACGTGTGTGGAGACGTCTTGCAGACTGCTGCGTCTTCAAAACGAATCGATGGGGTGGCGGAAGTGTAATGGTGTGGGGAGGCTTCACATTTCATCACCGGACCGCCCTACACATTTGCAGGGGTCGAGTTAATGCTGTAGCCTACCATGATGATGTCTTGCAACCAATTGTTGTTCCGATGTTTCGAGCGCACCCACAACTTCAGCACTTCCAACAGGATAATGCACGTCCGCATACTGTGCGTTTTAGTATGGACTTCCTGGCTGCTAACAACATCAATGTCTTGGACTGGCGAGCCATGTCTCCGGACATGGCACCGATAGAACATGTCTGGGATGAGATTGGATGCCGTCTGTATCAGAGACCACAGATGCACACCATTGCTGTTTTAGAAGCTGCTCTTGTCCAAGAATGGAACAATTTGCCCCAGGCCTTCTTTCAAACATTGGTTAATTCCATGCGACGTCGCTGCACAGCGTGCGTAATTTTTAAAGATGGGTTCCCAGAAAAGTATTTATTGGGTGGTTATTCCCAATAATAGTATAATTTTGGTATATATGGAAAGTAGAGATATCCAATCTTACTAGAAAAATACAGGATTCCCCGAAAAACACTCATGGAGCGTATACAGGACAAAAATGTAAGGGTTCCCCTAATCAACAGCCGAATGATTAGGAATTACTGCACGTATGATGTCAAAGGTCACATGCTTGTTGATTTTGTAGACTGCGTGTTACAAAATATGTAACACGAAAAAAAATGTGTGTAACATTATTTCGCTTATTGTTACTGAATAACATGATTATTCAATAAAAACAATACACACATATCAGAATTGACCTTTTTTAGTGTTCGACCATCGGTCCTTTCATTATTGTCGTCATATTCCATCAAACAAATTCTGACATCGGTCAAAAATATACGTTATTGGCAAATGGCTTTTCACACTACACAGTTTTAATAGTAAAAAAAAACATGTACCATTTTGATTTTTCTGGATGATATTTAACATAAATATATTAGTAAAAATTGTTTTCCTTTTGATGTTATTTACGATATTTTATTGCTTAATGATAATTAAATACTGTTATATTGTAGTTATAAACTCCTGAGTATTCATTCACGAAGTTTGCAAATGCCGATAAGGTGCTTTGTTTACGTCACATGACTTCTCGCTCACTTTTCCATCCGTTAGCATTATCCCTGTTTCTGTTCAACTTCTATACATCTTGACAAATCGTTTATACTGATACGTTGATTTTCCAAAGTAATCATTGATTTTCAGATTGAAATAAATTTTAATAAAGCAGAAATATAAATAATGACAACATTGTCAACTATATATTTTGAGAGTTCCGGTAGACTGATTTATCATTCACTCAGCGTCAGAAGTGTATGCATAGTGCATAGCGGTCTGTGATCCGAAAAATCGCTTTTTGACATAGTACGTATGTTTTATAGTTTAATTTACTATAATTGTATTATATACGCTTGAGTGAGAAGAAACAAGTTTTCAAGGGTAGCTATAAAAATAAATATGTACGGCCGAAAGAACACAAACTTTTTTTTATTATCTTTTTTTTATTATAATTAATATTTTGGAAAATAAAACTGTAATAAACAACAACTTTTGCAAGTTTGGAAATTTTGTTTGTAAATTCAGTACTGTATGCTAAAAATAATATTGACTAGAAATGATAATATTGACTAGAGAGTGTCAAGTGAATACTCCAGTTCCATCTTTTTATGCATGTTTATTTATATTTAAAAAAAATGATAAACTGAAAGTATTGACATTTCATAAAATATCGCAATATAGTGATTATATCGCAATGTTTTCAGGGATATCGCCCAGCTCTAGTGTTGAGTCTTCATTCTTTTGTTTTATTAGCCATTAGCTTTTTAATGAAATTGTAAGGAATATGTGTACACTCCAATGTATAACATAGCTTGTACATGTAATCCAAAGATCTTCTTTGAGCGGCATTTAGCAATTGACATACATAATACAAAAAACATAATATGGAACACAATTACTGTTTTATTTAAAGCGATGTTTCGTTGAGGGTTCTCTCAACGTTGAGAGAACCCTCAACAAAACGTCGCTTTAAATAAAATAGTAATTGTGTTCCATATTATGTTTTTTGTATTAATCCAAAGATAATAAAAGTATTTTCATTAAAGAAAAAATTGCCCCTTGAATTTCTTCAGAATCCTAGTTTTGCTTGTACATTTGAAATCAACAAGCAAAATTTTGCTTGTGTGTTTTCAAATAAAGTTCTATCCCTGGCTTGATGTACAAGTTGATAAACTTTATGAAGAGTTAGAATGACAACACTTTCTGAGATAAAAATGATGGAAAAAGTCGCGGGTAGTGGATAATCTGAGAATTTAATTAGGATTCGATATTTGTAATAAATAGTAAGCGATTAAAGACAACATCGTCTTATGTATGCAATGAATTCTCCTCTGACTTCCAAGAGAGGTAAGTCACGTGACGTAAACATGTCCTGGTTTGATCGAATTTTTATAGCAGGACATTCCTTTGCAATGACAATGTTAGAGAAGGATTTGAAGCAAAGTTATGACAAATTAATTAGTTTGAATATGTTTTTAGTCCATATATACCATTAAATCACCCAGTTTGTACGCAGAAACCCATCTTTAACACGCTTCTGAATGTGAACACATTTTTATTTGTTATTCACAAAGGCCAAGCCATTCACGGAACATGTATTAATGCCAACTTTTGAAATAGCATCCTTATTAGGATGACTTAATAAGATTTATTTTAAGAAAAGTAATAACTCCTTGTACATCTCTAGTACAATTTGATATAACCTACTGATTTCCGTGTGTTTCTAGTACTGTACTGTAAAATGATAAATTGAATGTTGTTATTACAGATGGAGTAATTATATTATGGAAATTAAGTGACACACCTACACCTGTTAATAATATATTTCAAGATGAAGATGAAGATAACAAAGAAACATGGGTTACTCAGAAAGTACTTAGGTATAAAAACAATAATTTTAATGCTTTTCCAATTTACAAAAAATTGTCCAAACCATGAAAATAGGTCTACCAGGGTTCTTAATCCATTTTGAAATGAACCAGCCACGGGTAGGCCTAAAAGATAGTCGTCTTTTCAACAACAAACATGTTGGTTTATGCATACTCTATTCACGACAGTAATTGCATAATTCACTAATTGCATAACATATTCGGGATAATAATAGCTGAAACTCCGAATAAACAAGGCCTTTGTAATTGCATACTTGTATTCATACATCGCTATAATATCGACATTTATAGTCATATTATTATTTCAGCAACTTGCATTGCATATTCCTACTTTTGCTTTCATCCAACTAAACGGAAGTTATAAATTAGTAAAAACTACAAGTACATACAAATGTTTTTTAAGTTATTTTATTTGTAAACACATGTTAATATAAAAATAACCATGAGTATTCTAGAGTATGCAAAATATTACTTATATTGAAGACTGTAAACTCAGTTGTCAAGAATGCTATTATATAAATTAATCAATAACTGTATAGTTGAGCATTGTTTTGATATCTACAAAAATATTTCCCACAGTAAAGTATCATTGGAGAACAGTACTACTCAAGTTTGTATTTATAATGCAGTGGCAGACAAATTGTTGTTTTGATTGCTGTGCTATACTTCATATTAAATGAAAATATTTTATAAAGTTGGTGAAAAGTGTTCCGGGATAGGAAGTAAACCTTTAAGTTAAAAAAAAAACCCCAAAACAATTAAGAAAAGTGCTGTAGATTTCAACTGGCGCGGTTTCGAATCCCCGGTTGTACGTGACAAGGAGTAGGGTTGCCTGTCCAACCTCGTGGGTTTTCTCCAGGTCCTCCGGTTTCCTCCCACTGCTAAAGACACCTACGCGCAAGCGAATTATTGAAATAAAATTAAAAACTGTATGTAAGTCCCGAAATGACCTAGTCTGTGTCGAGTGGACGTTAAACCCCATTTCGCTCTCTCTCTCTATTTTGATACTAAGAATAGAAGTGACTGAAAGTTCCCATAATTACAGAGGCCATATAGAGGATGTGTATGATTTATCTTGGTCTGCTGATGGTAAATATCTAGCATCTGGTTCTGTCGATAATAGTGCTATAGTATGGGAGGTTGCTAAAGGTTAGTAAACTATTTAATATACATATTTATAATATGTTTCTAAATACACACTTTGTATCTAAATATCAATTTATAACATGTTTCTACACTAAACATCAAAATAAACATCGGGTTGGTATGTTACTCTGAATAGAAGCATTGCATAAAACTTGCCAAATTTAGTTAATGTATATTTGTGACCACATCTCCAACTTTACCCGGGCCCTTATTCACGAAAACTTAAACTAAGATACAATCGAAATTTTAAGAAATACTGCAATTCGATTGGCTGACCAGTTAAATCAATTTACATATATCCAATGAAGTTGCAGTATTTCCTAAAATGCCACTCAAGGATTATAACTATCCTTCTAGTTGAGGTAGAATGTTCAAACTTGGTGTAGGTATTCATTAGGTGAATGCCTTGATGGAGTTTGGTGATGAACATTGTCTGCTTACAGTAAGCAGAGATAAGCAATCTGATTGGTTGATGCTTTGGGGCACGATAACTTTGGTTATAATGAAGTGAGAGCGATGAAACTCTGAATATAGATTCATAATATCATTACCTTGACTAAGTTCGATGGTGAGAATTTTCTGCTTAGGCGAAGGAGCGATAAACAATTTGATTGGTCAAGACTTTGGAACATAACAACTCTGCTTTTAATTGAGGTAGAATGTTTAAACTTGATGTAGATGTTCATTAGGTGAATGTCTTGACCTAGTTCAATGATTAACATTTCGAGCTGAAGCTAAGCAGAGCTAAGCAATTTCATTGGTCGATGCTTTGGGACAAGATAATCTTAATTCTCTCTGTAGAGAGTGATGAAACTTTGAGTATAGTTTGATTGCTCGATACTTTTGAAAAAAATAAATGTGCGATTAATTAATGTGTCATCTAATCTATTTTGTTCGCTGTGTCAGGATTGAGATTTGACCGCATGTGGATGAACCAACCACACGAGTCAAGTAGATTTATTGGAAAATACAAGAATGTAAAAATGCATTCTTTATAAGTTAGTATCGCTAATGTTGATATTTGTACTAAGTTTTAAAAAGTACTCAGAGCTGCGTACATGATTAATTGCATTGGGGAAAATTTCAAAGAAATCACATGTAAAAATGTCTATATATAGAACATAAAGGACATTCAGAAGATTGTAACGGATAGCAAAATGTTATTTTGTATCTGTTAACAGATATCCGCATAGTAGTTTCAACACTAGTATATCCTCAATATTGTTACTTAAGAATTTAGTTTTCCTAGTTATTTCAGTCATGATCCAAAACAGAATAATTATAGTCCATTGTTGGGGTAGCTGTTATAAAATCAACTGTACACATATACATCATCATTGTTAGTAAACAATTTTTGAGAAAGATTAGTTGTAGTGTAAATTGTGAAGTATACTAAATTAGATTACTGACTGAGATAAGATTTATTTAAATATCAAATCTTCAATGTAAACCTTTTATTTCAGATTCTAAAGTTGCTATATTTAATGAACATAAGAGTTTTGTTCAAGGTGTTGCAATGGATCCATTAAATGAATTAGTTGCTACTCTCAGTACTGATAGGTAAGTTGGTCAGTATTTTCTGTCAAGTAGACCTTCATGTCAATGTGATATTGACTTAAAAAGTCCAAAATTTCTAGAGCTAAAATAAAAAACATTTGATGACCCATGTTAAATTCAATTTTATACGCCCACATTTTCATGTGGACGTATATTGTCGTCGCCCCTGTCTGTCCGTCCGTCTGTCCGTCCACAATTGTTTGTGGACACTCTATAGATCACAATTCTTATCCGATTTTGACGAAACTTGAAATATAGGTTTATCTCCAAAAGATCTTGGCTGCTTTCGATATTGGCATGTATCGGATCGAAACTTCATGGAATATGGCCCCTGTTTGTACTAAAAATCACGTTTTTAGCTTGTGGACCCTATAGAGGTCACAATTTTTATCCGATTTTGTTGAAACTTGGAATTAAGTTTATAACCCAAAGATCTCGGTTCCTTTTGATATTCGCGCATATTGGACCGTAACTTCCTGAATTATGGCCCCTGATTGTACGAAAAATTGCGTTTTTAGCTTGTGGACCCTATAGAGGTCATAATTTTTATCCGATTTAAAAAAACGTATTAGTATATCACCGTTACACCCTAAGGACGACTGAGTTCTCAAATAGCGTAAAAATACGGTATATCAATGTTGTGGACCCTCTAGAAGTCACAATTTTTATCCGATTTTGTTGAAACTTGAAATGTAAGTTTATAACACAAAGATCTCGGTTCCTTTCGATATTTGCGCATATCGAATTGTAATTTCCTGAATTATGGCCCTTGATTGTAGGAAAAATCACTTTTTTCTTAGCTTGTTTTCTATCCATCTCTCGAAAATGTGGGTGTATCCTGCCTGGCAGCCACTGGTTTACCAAGTCCTTCAATATGGTATTTTACTTGTTTCGTTTGTTTTATTTGCAGATCTTGTCGTATATTTAACCTGAACAGTAAAAACTGTATGCACAACATAGCCAAGATGTCGTTACCAAATAATTCACCTGCAGAGGAAAATAAAGATAATAAACCAAAGTCTTTTCGTATATTTCATGATGACACAATGAGATCATTTTTTCGTAGATTAAGTTTTACACCTGATGGTCAGTTGTTAATTACACCAGCTGGTTGTATAGAAAGAGGAGAGAAAGTCATAAACTCTACACATATCTTTAGTCGAGCTGCATTTTCCAAGTAAGTGCAGCTATTAATTTAGATGTAATGCAGTTTCTAGTTGGTGCAGTTTTCTGGTGTTAATTTACTTCTTTTGAATAAAGATGTTTGTATTTAAGCAATTGAACCATTTTAGGACTTGATATTATTTAAGATACTTCCACAATGCTATAATTTACAAGGGATTCCAAATCTGAACATATGACAAAAAAATTATTATTCATTGAACACATGATTTATTTAATATTTTTTGAGATTGTTGGCTTGTCAAATAAATCTTGGGTTATTTGGTTTGTTTTTTTTCAGACCAGCAGTTTATTTACCAAGTAAAGAGAAGAGTACTATAGCAGTTAGAGTTTGTCCACTCTTGTTTCAATTACGAAAGATTGGAGCAAAATTAGTAGAAGGTATGTACAAAAATAGAGTTATCTACCTTCTTTCAAGTTGTCTGCATGTCTGCCAATAGAATACTGTCCATTGTATCCCAAAGGTAATCATTATCATACATATAAGTAATAGTTATATACCTTGTTTTCAAGGTGTATGGCCATACACAGAGAAAACAAGGTATATAACTGACTTATACTAAATACTTTTTCGAGAAATAGAGATTTTTTCTATTTTTCCCAATTTCAAAAGCATTTTTCATTTCACAAATTTATCAAAGTTTCCCATTTAGAGCCCCCAAATTATCTTATTGTAAAAGCTTATTTCTACTCAGGTAAATGATGTCAGTACACCGCACGTGCATTTCACGGTTTAAATCAGGTCAGGGAAAATGTTCATAACAGGGATATTGATTGGTTGAGAAAAGCAAACGTCACCCAATCATTTTGTACAATAGCCATTTCTTGGTGTTTGCCAACATCCTGGCTGCGTCGATTGTAGTGGATGGCAGAAATGAATGCGGGAATTCTTCGAAGAATCCTACTTTATAATGTCACAGATATATATTTCTAAGACCGAGCATATCAGTTCTGCAAGAGATTTCAATGATCGCGAAGATTTAGAAGCCTGATCCTTCACAGAACAAGAAATTAAAGCCATGCAGATGAGTCGAATTCCGCCAAACACAAGGAAAAATACCAATTGCACAGGAATATGGTGACACTTCAAGATCAGTACAAAAGATTGGATTTTAACTTTTTTGATAAGCAAGGTACATTTGCTAATTTTCGCACAGATCAATTCATTAACTTCGCAAGGTATTGACATCCACTGACAGACAAAAACAAGAACAGCCATTAAATGAAGACGAGTTGGAATTGTAGAGTTCTCAAGTTTGTAGTGTAGAAAATGCCAGTGGATTAATTTATACTAGTAATTAAATTAAATGAAGACGAGTTGGAATTGTAGAGTTCTCAAGTTTGTAGTGTAGAAAATGCCAGTGGATTAATTTATACTAGTAATTAGTGCTCCTACGACTAGTCGGATAGCCGTAAATGGTTAGAACTGGGCGGTTAAACGGTTCGATTTCAGCGGTACGGTTATTTGGAGATGTCCCCGAATACATAGAGTTGTGTCTGATTATATTCCTCTTTATAACAAAACTTGCCCGTTGTCATTTTGTATTTGATGTTTGAAAATCTTAGAATGTAACAGTCATCATACGATGTTGACTGCTAAAAAATAATACTATTAATAGCACTCGTCGTAGTCATACGGCAAAGTCAACGGACCTTGTTCTGACTTTTGCTATTGTTAATCCAATCTATATACTTCTCGGCATTTCTAACTATATTCTACCTTGTTTATTATTTACTTCAAAACGTAACCACCATTCAAAATATAATCATAAAGGCTAGAAAATGACATTAGACTAGATTTGTTACGACATTCAACACTTTCATATCTCGTAATTTCTCGCAAGATTCTACTTTGGTTTTTAGTTAAATTAACCAATCATAAAAATTCTACTTGCAAGCGAGGAATTATTTCTTTATTGTCCAATCAATAGACGCCTTCCAATTTACTTTATTCTATTCTTAGTAACATTGTGTAATCGTAATATTATCGGCATCTGTCACGTACGAAGGGAACCAGAGTATTGTTTTGTATATTATCGTTATATTGAATTAAAAAATGTTTCAAATGAACCAAGTTAACCAGGTAAATAAATAACTACGGCCTTAGATAGTTTAAATTTTCTTCAAAGAATTGTACATGTCTGAAAAAATTCCTGAAATTTTTGCGCGTGTAATGCCTTTTACTAGGCGAGTATAGCGTGCGCACGAGTAATGACTCGCACCTCCTGACAAGCTCTGTTTTATGTTTAAAATTGATACCATACGGTTAACGGTTACTAACGGTTAATAGCTACGGCTATTCGAATAACAAAAAGTCCTAACCGTAGGAGCACTACTAGTAATATATTTGAATTACGTGCTGCGGATGAGCATAAACCGCGACAAAATGTGAAAGTGTTTAGTGTTGAAAATGCCAAGAGATTAATTTATAATACAGTGCACTCTGTTACATCCGACCTCTGATCACTCCGGCACTCGGTCACATCCGACATCATTTTCATGTCCCGATTTATTTCCTTATTACTTCAGCCAAAAAATCTCTGGGTAATTCGACCTCTGTACGTTCCGGATTACGACATCAATCAGCCGTCCCGTCATACGATTTCCATTGAATCGACACCGTATAATACGGCCTTCAATCAGTGGGTGTGAAGCAAACACTTACCGATCAATTATCTGTGAGGTTATTAAAACTGGATGGGTGTGAAGCCACAAAAGATTAACAAGCAATCACCAATCAATTGTCTGTGAGATTAAAACTCGCTACCGTGGGTCTTTGTTGATTACTTTGATAATTTTAATCTCTTGTACGACAGTTGTGACAAATACTCAAGAATATCCACGAATTTTCCCCCGAATTCACAGTCGTAAAAATTTTCCTAGCACCTGTTGGAAACATTCGTTGCGCTTGCCGATTGAACCTGAATAACCTATAAGTTTGGTCACCCTACGGATCTCTTCGAACCATGTGACGACGACCTGGGATGCTCGATTCACAGTCCGGAATGTCCCGAATTGACAGAATTGCAATCGAGTGACGCGGTATTCAGTCCTGTCACAGTTCTGTCAGTCATGACGACGGAGGTGGTGTGAGTAGAATTGTGATGTAATTAAGCACGACGAACATGTTTCGGCTGCATGGTTGGATGAAATATTTATATATCCAGTCGACCAATGCGTTGTAGCCCGAAGTTCCCATTTTCACCCAATTATCACTATTTTTGGGATTGAGAGAATTCAATTCCGGAACGTACAATCGAGTACGCCCATTATCAATGAACACGTGATAGCAAAGACAGGAGTGCAATCAACTGAAGACAGCGAAGAAGATAAATTAACGACAGGCTTGACCTAGTCACTATTTTTGGGATTGAGAGAATTCAATTCCGGAACGTTCAATCGAGTACGCCCATTATCAATGAAGACGTGATAGCAAAGACAAGAGTTTGATCAACTGAAAACGGCGAAGAAGAAAAATTAACGACAGACTTGACCTATTCAAAATGCCTACGCATGTTAAATGAAATAAAAATTAATGTAATACAATTTTAAATGTACAGAAAGGTTTATCATTTTTAAAGGGAACAACATTCTGGTGATTCGAAGTTCTATGTTCGACGCTACATTATAATAATACTTTTCGGTTTTCGAAGTTATAATTTCCGGTTTTGGGTATTCCGACACTCTGCGTAATCCGACATATTGTAACGATCCCGTCGGATGTGACAGAGTGCACTGTAGTAAAATATTTGGATTATGTGCAGCGGATAAGCATAAGCCGCGACAAAATGTGAAAGTGCGACAAAATGTGAAAGTGCGACTAGATATCAAAATGTAAAGAAATGTGAGACAAAATGTAAGAATATGATTGAGAGTGACGCAAATTTGAAAAGTGCTGACTCTTACCATACGTGTTCAAAACGGGTTGTAGATGTTCAAATAAATATGTAAATCATGATTTTGTTATTTTTGTCCCTTTTCAACTGATACACGGCCACTTTTCAACTGATACACGGCCACTTTTGAAAAGTGGCCGTGTATCGGTGTATACCCTCCCATTTTCATCAAAGAGTCGAGAAAAAGTATGGGTATAAAAAAAAAATTGTAACTAGACCGTAGCTTGGCGTTTCACGGTCGCCTGATGCAAGACAAAGACTATCCCCACACACACCCCAAAAAACACGCACTTGCATAACTCAGATATTGATATGTTCTTTGCATGCGCATTACAATTAGTCCGGGAGCTAGGTAGGTTTTGTTCAACATGAAAGGTGCGGAAGGTTTTTGATGCTGGTGGTGTATGACTGTGTTAGGAGACCCCAGAAACCCAATTCTTAAGTTGCGTCAGTGGTTGGTGTGGTAGGAGGAGCCACCCGTAGTATCCCCCAAAATTGGTTTATTCAAAGTTCCAGTTCAATGGCATTTGATAGAGGAATATGCCCTGAATTAGGAAATATAACTTAAGAATGGAATTTTTGGTGGAAAGGCCACTTAAGAAGAGGTCAAAGATCACTAATTAGCAATTTTTTGATTTTACTCAAAACTATATTTCCATTATCTCGTGGTCTATTCCAGGTATATTACACAAAACTGCATGGATATTTTTGATACTGCTAGGAGCAAAAATTAATGAAGTTTTAGTTAAAAGTATGACATAATCTCAAAAATAACGAAAATATTACCATGACCCCCATCAGTAATTAAAATGTTAATCAACATGAAAGGTGAGAGTGAGAAACCACGCCTAAATTGTACGGAATGATATCAGAAATCATTATCATTTCTGGTGGTCTGTGTACTTAAGAAGAGAATAATGTTGGTTTGCACCGAATGACCCCTAATTAGAAATTTAATTAACATGAAAGATGCGACATTGGAACAAGGTGTAAAATGTAGGGAATGACCATAGGATTCACAACCACTAACTTAAGAATTAATATTTAGGTGGTAAATGAACTTAAGAACAGCAGATGCGACCAATAACCTTTAAAAATCTGTGACAAGCAGTACAATATGCCCACAATGTTTCCTCTTGATCTCTGGTAGTAACAGTGATACATTTATTACCGCCCACTTCCTTCATACTAAGAGTCATTTAAAAGATAGATCTATGTCATGTTATTGCAGATATCAATCAAGACCCAATCAACCCAAACCTAGCTCCCGGACTAGTACAATATGCCCACAATGCTAAGTTTCCTCACGATCTCTGGTAGTAACAGTGATGCAGTAATTACCACCCACTTCCTTCATACTAAAAGTCATTAAAAAGATAGATCTATGTCATGTTATTGCAGATAATCAAGACCAAATCAACCCAAACCTAACTTAGGAAAGGCAACTGTCTTCATCAGAGGAAGCAGCGGTGAAAATCGTCATCAGAGGTATCCTGATCAGATTGCTCAATGTTCTCTTCAACCAATGACTCCCGGAGTTCAAG